GGTGCCGGCTGCGCCTGGGCGCACACGCGTCGCGATCGTCGGGGTTACGGTCATTATTTCCCGGCCGATCGCATTATATGCAACCGCGTTGCAGCCACCTTATTCTCCGGTAAGGCGAGATGTAGGAGTCGAGGAACCGAAAACTTTTATGGATATCCGATGGACGTTATATAGCTACCTTCTTTACGTCTTAATCGGCTGAGTGTACGAAGGAGATGTTGTTGCATATTACATAGATGTAAGCTAAGAGAAATATGTCACGCTTTAAAGCGTTTCTCCTCTATGATTAATAGCATTGTGCGTTAACTGAATGATGATATGAATGAGTGAGAAAATCAAAACTAGTCATTCGAAGGATTTGTAGACCCTGTGAAAATATGATTATTAGTCAGATCCATCAAAAGAATGCGTTTTGTATTAATGAAAATTATAAATAAATTAAAGATGCACAAATGTAAAAGGTAGAGAAAATAAAGACAGATTTTATGTATTATATATATATATATATATATATATATATATATATATATATATATATAACTTTATGGAAACATATATAATAATTCTATGGTTTATATGATAATATTTGAATTTGCAAGAAATTGTCCAACTATATAATATTACTGATAATATTAATACATTGTTAAATTAATAATATTACTAAATAATAACATTATTGATAATATATAAAATTACTGGTGGCAAAACCTGATTTATGGCAACAATAATACCAAATATTCCACGAATTGTTGCGCAAAATATGTATCAATTTTAATTTATCATTAATTGCAACATAAATGATTAATTGTAAAAAATTAATTTTAAAAAATGATGTGCGAGAAATAATGTACGAGAATAATGAGCTATGTTATAAATACCAAAAGCACTCTCACAGTTATAAATAACATTATTATATATACGCGATTTTGTATATTTAATAAATTTTGTCTGCCGCTGATATATGATTAAATATATGTTGCGTTAAATATTTTAAACAGATTATATTGAAAAAAAATTACTTATTATAGACGTGTAAAAAATGCGCTGTAATGTGCATTATATGGGAATTTAATTAAAGCAATAGATATTATATACAGCTATTTACCGCACAATACTTTACATCGATGTATTATTAAGAATATTGAACGATATATTTGTAATCGAAAATAATCACATATTATTTGCAATCTCTGATTGAAACTATAATTAATTATCGATCCGTTCCTGTTCATACTTAATGAATTTCTGTTTCACAAATCGTTATTTGAAAAATCTATTGTTAAAATTGATATTTTTGCGCGCGCTATTATTATTTCTTATTTTACTATTAAATAATAGAGCTGTTATATTATTCAATGTATATCAATACGAGACTGATTCGCTTGTTTGTTCTCTCTCATAGGCGAAATAATCAATGTTTCATGCATGAATCATTGTGTTTCCTCAATTAGAGATTATTTGAATATAAAAAATATAAGCGATAGAAATTGATGGATATAATTGTAGAGTTAAATAACTGTCGTTATTTAATTTTAATTAAAATAAAGGATTAATTTTAATAGAATCTTATATAATATGAAAAAGAAAGTTTAATAGTTTAATGATGTGCGTGAATTCATACATCAACTCATGAATTTATGAATCCATTAGAGTGTAATTATAAATTAACTATCTATTTTCTCATAAAGACTTATATTAACTCTGTATAATTGTATTTGAAAAAAATTGCTACTTTAAATGTGGACGATAAATTCGATAATGTTTTAAACGAAAATATCATCGATAATAAATATTGATATCGCATTAAATTGTTTTTTAAATATAATGTGTATTTCATGTTCGCTCTTTCTGGATGCGCAAACGAATAAACCTGAGAGTACGTGCGATTAGCATATATAGCCGCCCGCATTGGATACACCGTGAAGCGTATGCACACGCATGCATATGCATCGCATAGACCGGAATTAGCCTGAAATGTTTAATTGAACGAGCATCATCGACGCGCAAGTCTGTTCGGCGTCGCGATTGATGTATTACACAAACATAGCGCTTATCAAATCGGCGCCCACCTTAATAATATTAGCTGCACAAGCATCGATGGGGAGATGGCGCATTGCCCAATTACTCTTTCGATGGTGGCTGAGTGTTTACTCGATAATTGCAATATACGCGACAAAAATATTTAACATTACGCATATATTTAATTTGTGACTCGCAAATTGTCAATTAATCCTGCGAATTTTAGTTGCGCAAAATGTACGAGGGAAAATAGAAAATCGTCATCAGGAATAATTAAATGAAAATGTATTTTATTCATTACAATACATCCTTTCTTGCAATGTCGTAGAGAGAACACACTTTACGAGTTCCGTATACGCGAGTATACACGCGATGTGCTGCGCGAGAGTGAACGAGAGCAAGAACGGGAAGAACACAGAGAGAGAGAGAGAGAGAGAGAGAGAGAGAGAGAGAAGAAGAAGCAAAAATGCCTACCTGACCTATGATGAATGTTCCGACACCCATCACGGTGCAACGACATCACAGCGCGTCCCTCAAAACAGAGCTACAATGCGGCCTCTCGTAGCCATTATGCTAAAATGCAATCTCCTGATAACCGCAGCCGCACCATCGCGGGGCTTAATCTCACCTATCTGTACAGCCGTCGGGGAACGGAAACAAAATGGGAATGAGAGACCGGTCTGCCTGGCCGGATGATTCGGGATAAAGAGAGCGACATTGGGGATGTAGAAGGGAAGGCGAACGAATAGAGACGGAGAGATAGATAGAGAGAAAGAGAGAGCTACAGCGCGGACAATGGTGGTGGAGACTGGAGAGATACGAAAAGAAATAAATTCCGCAATCGATAAGCGTCCGGTTAAACGTCAAAGCGCGCCGGTGTGGGTAGACGAGGCACTTTCGATCCTTGACAAAAAACACAATCGCCGATATCCAGGGGGATATAAAGCTCGCTTGCTTTGCCTCCCTTTTTCGAACCCGCATCTTTTTTCTTTCCGGCAGAAAGTCGAGTCTATGTCGGAATACACGTTGTAATGCCCGCGATCTCTTTGGACTCGTTTCTCATTCCCTCTCTCTCTCTCTCTCTCTCTTTCTGCGTAGTAGATGGGCTCTGCAATTTTACTACATTGCCGATGGAGATATCCGGGCAAAAATTATTTCCCACTGCGTGAAAAATTGCAATGAAACGTTCCAATTTCCATTAAAATGTTAAGTGTAGCGAATCGTTATCCGCGATTCTCACACAAGATTCACGAATTCATTTTACTTGCCTTTTTCCTTGTATATTTCATAAATATAATCAAAATGGCAGATTTATAGATGTAGCTTATAAACCCCATGTTTTTTATTTCATTTTTTCACATTTAACGTTTCAAATTTAAATACGAGATTCAAATTTATTTAGAGAGTTGAAAAATAAATGCGTCATACGTATGGTTTATTTAAAAGTGATGCAAGTCAAATGTTGGAACGAAATGGTTTCATCCTATTTGTACAGCGAATATAAATGCATTCGTTTAATAATACGTGAATATGTCAAATGTCGATATCGTTAAACGTACCATTGATGTATGCAATATGACTTATTTTTACTTGTTAACATAAAAGTAGATTTGGAAAATCTTAAATCGATGTGGAAATTTATTTGGAAATCTTAAAATTTATAATATAATTACGACTTCTTATGTAAGTCATTTAGATTTTTTATTTTTATTTTCGTCGAAATGAATACTTTATATATCGACGTCGTGACGCAATTCGCTTAATGATCGGCAACCGATCTTCACGACTTAATCAGTGAGGAGAAGAAGTGTTCCTCGTAGTGGCAGCAAAACCGTTCGGCGTTTAGCTCTCTTCCGAGGAGCATTCGGAAAGTTTAGATACCTCTTCGGGATCCTCTTCCAGGCGAGCGAATAAGCAGGCATTAAAGGCTTAGACCGCAGATCGAATTGGAAGTATCTACGTAACATTCCCGCACCTTTCCTTACCATGCTCTTCTTCCCGCAATTCCTTTCTTTCCTTCTCTCTCTACCTCTTGTCTTGTTCGCTCCATTTCTTCGCCATTGCTCTGCAACGAGCGGCCAGGTACGATCGCGCTGGTGTAGGTCGGGATCGAGAATCGTCGAGATCCTCGAACGAATCCGCAAAGCAAAGATTTAGGAGGGGGCCACGTTTAATGGAGGATCATCGTGCGATTTCGTTCGAATTTTGTCAGTGAGATATTCGCCTCGTGACCAGGTCAATCCGGCTCGCTGGTTACAGTTACAGTTTTCTCTTGGTTTTTTTTCAAATCGTGAATAATGTAATGCGGTAGTAGATTGTAGGCGGTAGATGATCGCGTCGCATATGATCGAGGCTTGCGCAAAATTATGCTCTCGCGTTGGTCGGACCAAGCGATGCTTGCCTTTCCATGATATGGTTTAGAACATGACCGTTTCCTGTTTAGCATTTTGCGTGTATACGCGCATACAAGAACAATAGCGCGCTTCCACGGGCAAGCGTACGCTTGAATAAGTAACAACAATCGTAATCTCTGATTATATATTTGTACTGTAGACTGACATTATTCTCTCATTCTGGTATTAGATAAACATTCTATTATTCTGTTACTAGCGTAATTCTGGTATATCGTCAGAAAAAGTCAAAACAAATTTCATCAGGATAAATTAATTGACAGATAAAAGTAATTAGGTCCATAAATATTCTCTCTCTTGTAATGTGATTAATATTTTTAATACAATGCAAAATGTAATATATCATATTGTTGTGTGTTTAGTATGTAATATGCATATATATGTATCTATATGCATGTGCAATGATATACCATTGTTATGCTGGAAAAATTTCAATTTGTCGCTGAAAGCATGCATCTATAATTTTACATTTCAATTTAACATTTTATTCTTCTCTTCCTCTCTTTCTCTCTCGTTTACGATAATTTCAACAATTTTGAGATTAATATGAACTTTTGTATTTTTTCCCAGCATTACCGAGTCGCGAAGCAATCCAAGCTGAATTTCGACATTTCCAGAGCGCATTCGGTGAGTTGATATTTATTTGACCTAATTAATTAGTCCATTAGTCTTAAACGCGCAGTTTTAAAAAGTGGATTAATTTTTTTAATGATATAACATCATATGTACAGCGATAATCTTCATCGAAATTAAAATGGTTTTAAAATGGTTTTATTTCTATCAAATTTTATTGAATGTTTTTTTTTTGCTTATTCAATCTCTTTAAAGTTTTTAATATTAAATATTCAAAAATTTAAGCTCAAAATAAATAGCATGAATCTGTTTTTTCTTTATTATTTTTATATTTTGAAAATTAATCTTTTGATATTCCTGTTACAAAAAATTATTTCACTTTTCCAAGAGAAGTATCGTTCTGTTCGCCAAGTACCTCGTATAAAACTCTTATCGTCCGATGCGTTCGAAAACCTCTCTCCGTGATTACCTGCCGCGGTGTCCTCCTTTCGTATAAGGAACGAGCTTAAAAATCGGAGTCGAGCTTAAAATCACGACCTATAAGCTCGGCCTGTCGTGACAAGGAGCGAGAAACGTAGGAATGGCTGAGATTAAGTATCGAGGATCGTCAAGCTACTCGACCGACTTCGTTCCCCAAAGATGAAAGCGCTCTTAATGGAGTACCATTGTCTGGTTTCGTCCAAGTTTCGTCCCGTGACGTCCCAGGTTCATCCGAGCGATGCTACTCGCTGTTTTATCGCGTTTGGGATTTCGGGTTCGACCACTGCTTACAAGGTAGTCCGCAAGACAAGGGGACTGCTCGAACCGGTGTAATTAATGGCTTCATCAGTTCGCCCGCCGACTAATTAATTCGCCGTCTCGAACGTGTCACTTTCCCGCGAAAACTTCCTCTCGACACTACTCCAATACATGGATTCGAATATTAATCAGCTAAAAGAAAAAAGAAAAAAACTTGTATACGTGTTGTCGAATACAATGATTAAAATATTCGCGTTGGTAAAGATTTTCTCACGTGCTACATGTTACGAACAAATTATCATTTTAATATAAAACTCAAATAGACTGTAAACAATTCAAATTAATAAAAACGCGTACTTTTATTTTTTGAAAATATTATATTGCAAATTATTTTTCTACATCTGAAATTATGCACGTATAAAATATTTTAGAGTTCTGATAGAAGTTTTTTTTTTAAATTCAAATCAAGTTTTTTTGGAAAAAATTTTGAATCCAGAATTTAAATTCTTTGTGCCTTGATATCAAATACTTAAACAAAAGATATTTCTTTCACCTCGGTATATATATTACAATCTGAATTTGAGAGATTTTCATCAATCATTCGTTTAATGTTTTCACGAGAAAAACATCCACATTATTTAATCGCATAATTATTAATTAGTTAGGTGTTTCGATATAAAACGCAAAATATCGGGCATATGTCAGTATTCACGCGAGAGGCGTGATAATTTGTGAAACTCATTAGCACGTTCTCAATCCAATTTAAAATTTCTCTCTCTCTCTCTCTCTCTCTCTCTCACAATCTCACCAAATTTCCTGCCGCTGAGCATATGCGTTATTATGCATTATGCATATGTTTCTAGTCGTGCTCCAATGCATCATTATATCCTAACGACCATGATTCAAAGATATACATCTCAGAGAAATAGAGAGCGAGAGAGAATATATCTGGCAGCTATGAAAGTTAGAAGCAAAATTAGGTTTGAGGAAAACATTGCTTATTCCAATTTTAAAATATGGATATATTTTATACACAAATAATTAAATTTTAAAGATATGAGTAGAAAACGAAATTGTATTCTTGGGAATTAATTTTAAATTGACTTTTTTTTCACAGAATCTTCTTTCTTGTTCTTTTTTTTTAAATATTTAATATTAATAATTTAACACACGCGATACACACAATTATAAAAAATTAATGTGCAACAAAATTACGAGATAAAAAGAAATCGAGATAAAATGCGTTACTATCGATATACATATATTGCTGTATATACTATCGAGCTGATCTTTGTTAAAATTCAGACACTTGGTAGACCGTCGCTCATGCTTGATCCTTAAATTTATCATCGTTCGCTTCGCCTTTTCGGAGACAGTATGTCGATATTTTTTTAAATACGTTCAAGACAAAATCGCGGCGTGTCTTAAAGGAAAATCTACAGTCTTCCTGAAATGAGACGGGGTTCGAGAATGATTCGACAAAGTGGAAAAGGGGATCAACGGGAGGAAGGGGAGGGAGGGGAAGTTACTCGGGAAGGTTACGGTAATCCGCCGAGCTCATCGTGTAATTTCCCATAAGGCGACGGAGGCTTGTACTTCACCGAAAGTTTCGGCAAAGTATATTTTGCCACCCCCCAGTGTCTACGTCGATGCCCCTTCCCGCCTTTCTTCTCATCGTTTACACCCTCTCGAACCTCGAAACCTGTCTACGGCAGACTACAACAATTTTCATTTTTTTCTTCAATCCTATTTCTCTTTCATCTTTAATTTACTGTTTTATTATAAGCCTTTTGCATTTTTTCTCACTTGATTTTAATTTATATATTTTTTTTATTAATTTATTTCCAACGTCCTTTCTCATTTTGTCTGTCCCATCAGGATGAGTTTCGAGTGGTGCAGTTTCGCGCGTGTCGCGAGGCTTAATTAGGCTAATGGATATCCGTAATTGATGCAACGAGACTGTCCACTCGAGTGCTGAATTACGCCTGCCAGCAGCCCTGCCGCGCCGTGATATAATTCGTCCTCTCGGCGAGAAGCCCGTCTGGTCTCGTGAATTTTTCGGGCACGCGCTCGGCAGTAGTCTTAGGATGCATTGTCCAAAATTTATCTTGTCTTGCGAGTTGCAAAAAAATTGCATACAATATAATGAGAGAAAAACGAAAACAATTTCTATCGTGGATTAAACCCAGAGAAAGCAACGTCGACAATTAAAAATTATAAAGCGTTAAAAAGAAGGTAAATAATAATCTTGAGATCCCTCTCTCTCTCGAATTCTTTGATCTCTTTAATCTTTCTCATAGTTATATAAAAGTGAAATAATTTAGAATATTAATTAATCTTCTTACAATTTTCCGTACGACGTAATATGCAAAATGAAATACTGAAATAACAATCCTAGCGAACTTTAGCGAGGAAACTCTATACCGGGAAATATTCCGCGGTCTCAAAAACTCGTATTAAGATTCGCGACAACGAGGAGAGATTAAGATTAACGAGTCTACCGTACGGCGAGTGGAATGGAGCGGAATGAAAAAATATCAACGTGGAAGCGATATTTTCATGTCGATTATCGCATTAATAACGCGCGAGAGATAACGTCGCGCGTTTTATTGTACGTTTCTCATCTCTTTTTTTCCCCGACAGCGGACACGAGCGCGTAAAAATTGCGACACATTTCTCTCTGCTGTACGGACTCGGCGCGAAACCGCCGGCGTTGCGAAAACGCGCGGTCTGAAATATTAAACCGCGCTAAAAGCCTAAAGTTAAACATCGCGCCCGATTAATTACGAAAACATGACTGCGGGCGTAGAAGCGTCGGGACCGCGACTGCTCCTCGGTATCTCTGCGTCGCGTATTTTTCGCGCGAGAGCTCGCCTTCCGTTTCCGACGATGTATCGTGCCAACGAAGGTCGGCGGTGGAAGAATGGCCGAGAGGATAGGACAGAACGGGACACGGGACGACGGTGTATTCGGTTTCGCGAAATGCAACGGAGATGCATTAAAGCGCGCGTTCCTTTGGCCAGGAATATAATGGAATTTCCCGGGAAGAGGAAGCGCGGAGAAGATTAGAGCTGACCGCTGGTCTAAGAGAACGTGCTCGTCCTTTATCCTGATTCGGGGTTCAATTAGAGGACCGCCTTTGATCGAATATCGATACGAGCGAAATATTAATGTCGACGGTTATTACTGGAAGAAATCGCAAACTTGTACAAACTTGATAAAATTTCAATATTGATTAAAATATTACAGACGTCGACTTTAGCTCTCGTTTCATTAAAAGAAATATTTTCTTCTGGATTTTCACACAGTGTTTGAATGCCGATTAAATGATTGATTTAATTTGAATAACTTTAATGGAAAAATTAATAATTTTATCAAAAGTGTCAAAATTCGATGATTTGCAGCCGACAGGGACACTCCATTGCCGAATGTAAAGATACATTGGTAGGTACATTTCCGCGGTACTGGCAATGGGACGTGTTTCGTCGAGCGCGATAAAATGCTGGCGCGGTAGATACGCTCTCTAATGCCGCTACTCGCGAGCAGGAGGAATATAATAGAATCTATGACGCGTAAAGCGCGGCCCCTCGTCTTATTGCGCGCGGCGACAGATAAGCGCACTACACCGTCACCGTTGCTGCCGTCTCTCCTATGCAACGAATAGGCTAAGTCACTCTCTCGGCGGCACTCGCGAAATCGATAACGAGCCTCGCCCGCTTCGCCCTCGTCGTCATGTCGAGGAGACCGACGGGCGAGAAACCGCGTCGTCGAGCTTTCTCGAGACCTGGAATTAACCTTTTTGATATTATAAATTCGCCTTTCATAGAGAAAAGAATACGAAGGGAAAAGGAGCAAAAAATAATATATTCTTTTCGAAAATCGTCGGTTCGTCCGGTTGTTGAAAAGTAGACTTTTTAAGGGAGAGAAAAAACGATTATAAATATTTATTTAAATATATTGGATATAATAATTTTTTATAAATATTTTAATTAACATTTACATTTCTTATAAAAATGTAAATCCACAACTTTGAGTTTCATAAGTACAACGCGGATATTATCTCGTATCTTGCGACAGGAGCTTCTCATTAAATGCAATGTAATAGACAAAACAGTCTCCTTAAGAACTCTTATCTTCGTCCGTAGTCCGCCATTACGAGACGCGAGCATTTGCGGAATTTATTTTTAATCGGATCGCCGCCGACGCGACGGAGGGAGAATAAAAAGATCCTCCTATTGGCCGCGCTTACCCTCTTTTCCTACCCGTTATTTCTGCAACGTTCGAAAATTCCCTGGACTGTGCCGCGGTTACCTATC